GAACACTCAAACACACATGAACACTCAAACACACATGCACACTCAAACACACATGAACACACACGAACACACACACACACACGCTCTTCTGGGTTTCACTAAAGTCTTGACGAGGGAGGAAGGTGTTAACAAGACAATTAATATTCGTGACCTTCGGCGAATCACGGCAGACCTGGATTCTATTACCCAGAATCCCCGGTGGTGCTGCTCTACTTCGTCTTGACCCACTTCATCTAAAACACACACACACACACACACCAGCCAGGATACAATGGTTGTTTCAGGTTCAGGTTAATGTTCACCTGTGTGTGTGTGTGTGTGTGTGTGTGTGTGTGTGTGTGTGTGTGTGTGTGTGTGTGTATCAAACACACATACAAAGTCTGAGTGACAGTTCAATCAGAGGTTTAACCGCCGGGGATTGTGGGGATATGTGTCAGGTCATGTGACCAACAAACACCTCCTCACCTGTTATGGTGTTTGTTTGCTTAGAAATGGCACACACAGACACACACAGACACACAGACACACACACACACACACACACACTTAATCCTTGTATTGATCAGCTCAGCTGTGAGTAATGTCACTTGGATCTGCTTCTTCTCACATCTACAGACACAAACTCAAATCTGAACTGAACAAATATAAGTGTGTGTGTGTGTGTGTGTGTGTGAGAGTGAGTGTGTATAAAAATAAAACTCTCCCCTCCGTGGGCGGGGAGAGTTTCAAGCTCGGGTCCTCAGTAGCTTGAGGGTCCTGCAGTATCTTAGCTGTTCATAGCACTGCACTCTTCTGAACAGAGATCCCTGATGTTGTTGCCTAACTTGAGGGGGTCAGTGCCCTGGTCAGCTCTGGGACCACTCTCACCTTCGCTCTCTACAACTTCTTCTCCAGCACCGTCAGTCTGGGTATCAAAAGCCAGGCCTGTACGTCCAGGTAAAAGCACCTGCGGAGCTGCCAGAGCCCCGCCCAACATAAAAGGGGTGGCTGTAGCTCAGGAGGTAGAGCAGGTCACCTACTGATCGGAAG